ACGTGCCCCCCCCCCCGTCTTTTATAAGCCCTATGTTAAAAACTATTAAAATAAATTACGCAAATAAGAGATCAAATACACATGCCCCCCCCCTTTTTAAGCCCTATGTTAAAAACTATTATAATAAATTACGCAAATCAGAGATCAAATACGGAAGCATAATTGATAGCACAATATTTTATGTTCAAAGGATCCCGATTAAACTAAGAATTTAAGATTTTAATAATCATTTCAATTTTATTGAGAGTCTCTGTATATTTATTCCTCAACCATATTCCCTGTATATCCGAGTATAAATGTTATCCAAATATACAGGGTGATAAAGACAATCTTGTGTTTTCACTAAAACATTCCACCCTGTAGAAACCTACAATAGGCTAGGCACCAAATATATGTCACAATACAAATATCATTTTTTTCCAATATTTTTCAAACCGACCAAAGAAACTGTCATTTACCTAAGCTCAATATTGTCTTCTTAACAAATAACTTTTCATCATAAATATTGACATTTTCCAAAATTATCGTTCTAGCTGCGGTTTAACAGGCCTAGGTCATCTTCAAATATTTGAAATATACCGCGGGAAACATAATTATATAATAATATGACTAGATATAACAAGTTGTAGTATACTAATATTCATGTACAAGGTTAACATAGTTGTGTGTATATATATATATTATATATACTTTACAGGTTGTAAAATAAACTGGCCAAATTGTATAAAATAAAAAATCCTTAATTTGTGCAATTTTAAGGAATGTTAATTTATGCTTGGGTCTCTAATCCGTTAAAGAATGACAACAGTGCAACCCCCTTTGCAACATTTTAACAACCCTCTTTTGGCACTGATAAAATGAGTATAAAAAATAGTAAAAAATAAGGATTAGTTGGTAAGTACAATTATTCAAGAATTTGTAAAACTAACATAAGTGTGGGGGGGTGGATGGTTATTATGTTATATAAAGTTGAGAAGCAGGATTATAGGATATAATACAATAAATGCGGAACGGAACAAAATAATTACTCAATTTGGTTTTAGGTAAGTCAGTCTTAATAGAAATTATTTTAAAAAATTGTTCTTTTATATTTTGTTTTCAACGTCACTTTTATTTGGAAACCAAAATTCTTAGGGAAAAATGTTATTAAGATGGCAATATCAAATATTAATGTAATAGTCAATAGAACATAAAAACAATGGTATTTAGAAAAGCGAAAGTGTGAAATTGTAAAAATGTAAAAATTGAGGCGTGTTACAATCGCCGCTTTGATTGTTTCACCAAAAACGGCGGACAAATATAGCTCAAGATGCCCGTTACTAATGCTCAATACGATATGGCGGTTAATGTGAGTAACATAAAGTCCTAAACTCCAAAGAAGCTTTTAGCTACCAATGGGAGATTTCTACTTTCATCTCGTTAACGAAGAGCGTTAAACCGCTTCAAGTGAATTTACCGTTAAACCGTTGTGAAAGGAGCCATACACATAAACGGTGTAATACGTACTTACATTTGTAGAGTTAACAGTCAAATTATGTCTTATGTTAATGAAATACCACCATTTAATTTAAGTCAACGGTGAAAACCCGGTGAAATAGCGTTCCCGTGTTGATGATTTCGATGCCGTCATTTTGTTTGTAGAATTCAGCGGTAAAGCGGATTTAAAGGGTCCACAGTATTGTTGAGAACTTATCTGCGACCCATCTCGGAACGAATTGCTGAAAAAATAACAGATATAAAGTGACTGTAGCATGGGCGTACTTGGGGGAGGTCGACCCTGTGTACCCCCCCCCCGGGCCTATTTTATTAAAATTTCACAAACATTTTAATTTTTTTTTAACAAATGGCAATTTGTCCATTTCATTATTATTTCTAAAATTCTTTCTTAGACCTTTGTTATATTTTTTTTTCGCGGGGTTTAATTTTAAATAATTAATATAATTTTATTATTTGTAACTAGGGTCGGATAACGAATTGTAAGATAAGTTAATATTGATTTTAACACTAGAGTTTATTCTTTTAAAAACGGTTGTTTTAGAGAGGGGGGGGGGGGGGAACACCGATTGCTTAAGATGGACTTATCCTTAATTGTCTACAGAAACTAATCCTTAATTGTCTACAGAAACTAATCCTTAATTGTCTACAGAAACTAATCCTTAATTGTCTACAGAAACTAATCCTTAATTGTCTAAAGAAACGCTTGCAATTGTTTAACACTTTGTTTGCAAGATCAAGCAAAAGTCAAAGGTATAAAGAAAACCACTGTAAATCGGACAGTTGCTTGAGTTTACAGTCCCTTCAAGATTTTACTGCTACCTTCTATGATTTCGAGTTTAGCTTTGTTAATTTCTTTTCTCATTTCTCGCAGAATCTCCTGTTTCATAGCTTCCAATTCATCCCCGTAAACAGAGAAAATAAACTCTCAGTTTAAGAATCACTATTCAACTTACATAATATTCAACTTTTAAAATTACCGGAGAAATAAAAAACTAACTTACATTTATCATGAAGATAAAGGTTGACGAAATATTCGGAAATTATTTTAAAGATTCTTCTAGCAGTGTAACGCCCGTAGTAACTAAATAGAAAAGAGAAGCTTAAGGATATATTTACAGAATACACGTACACTTGGTATCAACAATTTATAAATAATAATAATAATAATTGTTTTTAGTACATTAAAAACCGGTTTTCACAAACAAAACAAACATGAATCAAAATTTAAAAAGAGTAAAATATACGGCATCACTTACTGGAAATAATTCATTGCTATTAAATTGTCGATTTAAAAAATTTCATGGTCAAACAAATCAATTCAATCAATAAGTTAATCAATCCATCATTCAATCAATAAACCAATCATATTAATAATTCAACCAATCAACTAATAATTTGACCAATCAATTAATCAATCAACCATCCAACCAATAAGTCAACCAATCAACCAAACTATCTTTATCCTTCTACCACAAGAAGAATTATGAAAGTCTCCAGGTTTGATGTCGATAAAATTTCATTTAATTTAGTGCATAAATAAATAAACCAACTAAATATTGTTGGATAAGCTTAAAATTTCTTTGATAGTTTAATTGAAAAACACAAGATTACAACCGTGTTAAATACAAGGTTTTTTCAAGTAATCGTTATCAGGCAGTTAATGATAACTGGTTCAATCATGAATATGCAATAATGCATGCAAATTATAAAATTATGATAACAAACATAATTGCTGATCAGTATCAAACATAATTTTTGATTATCAATTTAATGAAATTAGTGTCTATCGATTTGATATATGGTATTAAATTAAAAATTTGAACACATTCCCCTAAAGTTAAGCATATCATAATAGATGCCAGTGCTTGGGGTCCATTTTTTTTTGATATGGATCCAGGTCAGACTATTTCTTACGGAAGTTTCTTAGAAAACCAACATCCCAAGTATATTTTTCTACTTGGGAAATGATTTCATGTTTCAATGTTTCAATAATTTCTAGTCTTTTTAATATTTTAGTGATTTTTTTCATACGTTTTATTTTCACATGTGTTTTTTTACATATATATTTTTATGAATCTATCATGTTCTGGATACAAAGAAACAATCTTAAGCACTGATTTATTCATGTGCAATATAAGCAAAAGTCAGTCAAGCATCATTGAGTGCAAAGCTTCCAGAAAAATCACCGAAGTATGATGAGAATTGAATTTAAGTATCCAACTAACTCACAAAACGGCTGATTGCAGATCGGACCCACATTTGTTACCGACACAATCTCAAAAATCTTTAAACAGAAAAATCCGCTAAATTTGAAATGTACGAAGAATAAAGGCTTGCAGACGGATCACCAACAAAAAGCTTACGTTATAAATATTAATAAATAAATAACTAAACTACAAATTAACATGCACTATGCAAAATTGAGAAAAGGATTGGTTAGAGAATTAGTTTCTGATGTAAAACGATCGTATTTTAAAAATGAATTTTTTGGAAAAAAGGTTAACGGATAAACAATATAAGTCCTTTAATTTAATATTTTTCGAAACACTTAAACTTATTCTTTAAAAAAGATACGAATTTTGGGTTAAAAGTATCAACAATTTTTTAACTAACATGCAGCGAGCCTTTTTAAAAATCTAATCTATCTAGTATCTATATCTATCTTGTAGCCTGACATCTAAAAAATCTCTATTTTGTTGTTAATTAAATATCATGCACCCACCTACACCATTCCCATTCATTCCGTTAGTTTCCTCCGCCTTAATCACAGTGGGCGGAGCACTCTCAGCATCCTGGCTCCGCCCTCGACCCTTCGGGGACTCAGAGCCTGGCTTACCAGGAGAGGGTGTGGACTCACTGCCCCGCCTTTCAGACCCTTCGTCGGGTTCCTCGCTACCACGATCAACCTGTACAGATAATTTAATTGGCTTTTTAGTAATTTTACCGCCTTTTTACCAACATTACCGACCTATGATTCCTCCAACCAAGGGAGGTTAAGTTACCTAATGTTCCTTGGGACAGTTATGTAAAATAACCACCCGCTCTACGAAGTTTTCATATCAAAAGACGATAAAACTGTGTACGACTGCGTTTTCGGAAAATTAAAAATTTAGTTTAACCAAAGAGTTCCCAAGACCAATTTTGTCTAAAAAAACATTCCTCGCTGCGCTCTGGATGTTATACAGGCAAAATTGGTCTTGGGAACCCTTTGTGAAGTATAATTCCCTTAAACTCCCTCTAGTTGTAAATATTTACAGTCGCCCCCAAGCCCCCTTTCCTTCAAATTCGTGGGGCAACTAATTATTTGATAAAAAGTTGGTCTTAATCAGAACAATTAATATTTTGCCTAACCAGAAAAACTAATCGTTCAAACCTTTTTTTGTTCTCCCTGATGCTTGAATTAAATATTTACTGTATATCTTAAAAGTAAATAAGAGGAGAGACTTTTTAGGATAAGTTCAATTCAAACAAATAATTCCACCAGTAAATTAGAAGTCTGCAAAACAAAATTCAGAGATTTAAAGCGGAAAAAAGAATTAAGATGTTGAGAAGAAATATATTCAATCAGTAGCTGAAAGTTAAAAGAGAAGAAATTAAATGAATTAACGAGAATCCACAGTTCTCATAAAGGGACTGTAAGCATAATTTCACGTGACCATCCATGCCAAGATGGCTATGCCCGATTTACAACGATACCATTGAAACCTTTTCTGATCAATAATGGGAAAGAATTTGTCTTTAAATAGATTTAACAGTATTTAATTCAGATAATTCCGGCATGTCTATCTGTAATAGAAATGCGCAAGTCACTTTTATTGAGTAACTACCATTGAAAATTATCAGTTTTCAAGATAATGAACATTAATTTGTAATCCAATTTTGATCAGACAAACCTTGTATGGGTTTTGTTGTGAATCGAGCATTGACATCTTTGCATTTTTAAGCTTACAGTTCCTTAAGTCTGAATTTAAATGAAAGGGGATGGGGATTTCTTCATGATAAGTTTACCTTTGCTCTTCGTCGAGCCAGTGTTTTTTGCATCTCGTCCATCATACTAACCATAGGAGGCCCTCCACCTCCTCCACCTCCACCTCCCATCCGTCCGATAGTTCCATACCCACTGCAATATAAATACAATTAGATAATCAAATAATAAGTCTTTCTAAATTTAAATTAAATTTCAGAACATAATACTTCAAAGTATTCATTATTTCATTCCTTAATCAAGATATTTTTATTGCTTCACAAGTTAGAAACGTTTTGATTAAATATTTCTTGATAACATTTTATTTGTTTATTAATGTAAAAATTAACTTATATTTTTCTAACCTTCCGGTATTTCCGTTTCCGTTTTCAGAACCCGAGGAACCATTCCGGGGCCCCGTCGTTGTTTTTCGTAGTTTAGCGCCCTAAACAAAATAATGAGTTAAGCTAACCAACTCAGCTAAAATTAAATCATATCAAGTGATGGGTGACTTTCAAATGAACTATGATAAAACAAGTTTGTCATATAAAATTAAGAATTTGAAGTATTGAAGATTACCATTAAGTGTTTGGAAAGTGAGGCTTGGAAAATGTGGAACATGTACAAAAATCATAGAAAGGAAAGGTATGCGGGGGGTACTCATAGTTTAATACCTGTAGAGCTGCAGCTAGACCAGACATAGGTTCCACGGAGTCAGAGCGTAAGAGTCCGGGTGCTGGAGGTTACTTAATCCAGTTTTCCATGCAGTGTATCACAAATGACCACCGCGGAAAATCAAAGAGTAATTTATTTCATCTATTTAAGACAAAACTTTTGATCTCAGATCAAACTTACAATGGCAGACAGAATTGGAAATATGTAATTTTGATTGAAAAAACCAGAAGCGTGATGAATGTAAGAAATCTCGCAATATTTATTTTACCTGGCGCGGCCATATTGGGGGAAGAATGATGCTGTTGCTGCATTCCTGGGTTTCTCTCAGCATACATTCTCTCCTGCATTATTATTATTGACAGATCTCTTAAATAATGAACAAACATGTTCTATGCCTTTTGTCCATATTCGGCATTTTGTTTTACTTTAATAATTTTTTAGCTTTAAATAAAAAATGTATAATAGACACGGCAAGTATGAATTTAAATCTCAGGATATTAGATATTAGACAATTTTAATTCATTAAAAGGAACTGTAAAGGAAAAATTAAAGGGGGTATATGATAAAACCTGAGAATCTCAGGCGTTGAACGATACATATAGGACATCTATCTGATGTTCCTGTCTCGAGAAATTTATATAAAACGGTGTCAAATTTAGACGAAAATTCATGTATATACAATTTTGTATACAAGTTGTAGTGTTAAACAGATTATATTCAACAAATACGCAACCAATCTGAAAACGACGGTATCCCTCAGGAGC